TTTTTTCTTGAGACAGTGTTACTCTGTGAAATAGTCCTGGCTGTCCTCACTCTGTAGACCAGGCTGACCTCGAACTCACAGAGATTTCAGTTTCCCAAGTGCTGAGATTAAAGGTGTGTGCCACCACCGCCAGGCACTGCTAGTTACTTTTCATGTCAGCTTGACATAGGCTAGGGTCACCTGGGAAGAAGTAATCTTAAGACAATGTCTTCATAGTATTGGCATGTAGGCAACTGTGTAAGGGGATTTCTTTTATGTCTTTCTCTCTTTTTTGAAAGAGTGTTTTCTTGATTTGATGGTTGATGTGGGAGGGCCCAGCCCACTGTGGGTGATGCCTTCTCTGGGCAGGTGGTCTTAGGTGCTATAAGAAAACGGGCCAAGCCAGGTGGCAGCGGCACCCGGCTATAATCCCAGCACTTGGGAAGCAGAAGCAGAAGCTGGTAGATCTCTGTGAGCTCTAGGGCAGCCTGGTCTACAAGAACTAGTTGAAGACAGGCTCAAAAGCTACAGAAAATCCCTGTGCTCAGAAAAAAAGAAAAAGAAAAAGTAGGTTGAATCAGGTAGCAGTGGCACATACCTTAATTTCAGCACTCAGGAGGCAGAGGCAGGAGGATGTCTGAGTTCGAGGCCAGCCTGGTCTACAGAGCAAGTTTCAGGACAACCAAAGCTACACAGAAAAACTTGTCTCAAACACACACCCACCACAAGAGAGAGAGAGAGAGAGAGAGAGAGAGAGAGAGAGAGAGAGAGAGAAGAAAAGAAGAAGAAGAAGAAAAGAAGAAGAAGAAAGAGAGAAAAGAAAGCAGAAAGCAGGCCGAGCAAGTCACGTGATGATGATGAGCCTCAACAAGCCGTGTTCTCTACAGCCTCTGGGTCTGCCCTGACTCCTTTCAGTGATAGACTGTGATGTGTAAGTGTAGGCAAAATTAAACCCTTTCCTTCCCGTGTTACTAATAGTCACAGTAACACAGTAGACATCAGAGCAACAGACACCCTAAGACGTGGGTGGTGTGAGGTTATGGAACTGGACACTAGGGTTCCTATGCCCACCGTCGATTGTTCCTCAAGGGTCTGGTCTCTGCCTTCAATGACAAACGCAGGTGTAGTTTCCTTCCCCTAGTTCTTTGAAGAAGCTTGCTCAGTCCTTCCAATGTTCTTGGCAGAACACTAGGAATTCCACAGCTCCTCTTGCTTTGAAGGACAACAGGAGAGGCATGATTGAAAGAAGAGGGTGGCTATTCAGTTGGGCGAGTGTTAGTCCTTTTCCTAGAAGGCTGGGACCATGGTCCTGCTGGCACCAGTTCTCCAGCTGTAACCAAGAGAGTTAGGCTGTAGTTATTGTGCCATGAGGCGATACGAAGACAGGGCTAACAAAAGCATTTTTTTGACCCTGGTTTCTCATTCCCCAGCGAGTGTAAATGAAGAACCCATTTCATGAGAAGTTATCAGTGTCTCTCTGTCTGTCTGGTGGTTCTTCCGTCACTCTTTGTTTGTTTGTTTTTCTTTTTTGAGTTTTGAAATACAATTTCTCTGTGTAACAGCCCTGACTGTCCTAGAATTCACTCTGTAAACCAAGCTAGCTTCAAACTCACAAAGATCTGTCTGCCTCTGCCTTTGGAATGCTGTGATTGAAGGTAAGTGCCACCACCACCTGGCCAGCAAGCACCCTTGTTGAGCCATCTCTACAGCCACACCCATCAATCTTCTTTCTAGTCAAGAGAAAATAAATTCAATATATCGAAATGATGTTTACATCTTTTTTTTGTATGTGTATGTGCACTTCTACTTACCATGGCATTTATGTAGAATTCATAGGGGAATGCCGGCTTTTGGTCTTAACTTTCTACCCTGAGATGGTCTTTTTGGCAACACTCACAGCTGCCCCCTGAATTTCCCAGGACCACTCTGTAGTGACTTGAAGGAGAATGTCTATAGGCTCATATATGTAAACACTGGGTCCTCAGTTAGTGACACTGTTTGGGGAGGTTGTGGAACCTTTGGGATGTTGAGCCATGCCAGAAGAACGTCACTGGGGGACAGCCTTAGCGTGGGTATAGTCTTGCTAGAAAAATGTCACTGGGGGACAGCCTTAGCATGTGTATAGTCTTGCCTCCCTACCTGATCTCTCAGTCTCACATCCCTGTTACTACGCCTGCTGCCAAGCTTCCCCACCATGATGGACGCTAACCCTCTGGAACCATGAACCAAAAGAAACTTCCCTAAAAAGGGGACATCTCATTGCACCCACAGAAAAGTGACTAATGTGGCCTCCCATCTTGCCTGGGAAGCACTGGGATTGATTACAGGAGCTCTTCCTGAGTCTGACTTTGCATAGGCTCCAGGAATTTGAACAGAGATAATCACACTTGCATGATATCTCCTCAGTAAACGCCCTCCCCAATCTAAGCACCGTGGTTTTGGTTTTTCATCTGTGTGCAAGTGATGTTATTGGAGGACTCTAGCAAGCAAGGGAGCACTTTGTTGAGCTGTTACACCATCAGCTAGGTTACCGGAACTGCTATACTGGGAATTTAATTCTGACCAAAAAACATGGCCTCAAGAAATGAGTAATCAGGCCAAGGCATCAGTCTCTGCTGCCGGCAGGGGAGCCCTGGCCTCACCAGGCTTGGGGCTAAGCACTACCTTTCTACCAGCCTTGTCTCACCTTCCTCTTATGCAAAACCTCAAACACCCCGGTTCCCAAAGAACATCTCTCTCACCTCTGGGGTTCTCATATGGGTTCGAGCCTCTCTGAAAGCGCCCCCACCCCGCTCCTCTGGAACACCAAGAGAACTGAGTATCAGATACTATCTGAGCCGGCGGAAAGGAGCACAGAGTTCTCAGAACCCTGAAAAACGGCCTCACTCTTAGCTCCCCATTCCGTGCTCTCTCCCTCACAGCCCCTGCAGTGTGGGCAGGGGAAGCAGAAGACCTCCTGGGGACCGAGCTCATGGGGAGACAGAATGAGTGTGGTAAGAGCTGGTCTCAGGGTCCAGAACTCCACCATGGGGCTTGCGGCATGGAGGAATGTGGTGATGACTGAGCTCTGACTCCCCTGAAAGATGAGGTGGCAGTGGTGGCAGTGCAGGTTGGCAGGACTGCTTAGTGATAAAGAGCAGAAAAGCAGATGGCCTGGTCATCCACCTATGGCCTCACAGTTCCACTGTGCACAGAGGGGCACACAGGAAGCTATGACTTCCTCCTTTTCCTCTCCATCCCCTTCTTAGCATAAAAGTCACATGGTACTGCAGTGAATTCTGAATTTTAGTTGGCAGTGTTCCCTGGGCATGGTGACAGTAGCTGCTCATTGTCCTACCCCCTTGGATTACAAACGCTCCAGACGCCCCTTTGACTGTCACCACGCAAAGGCGTACGAGGCACCAACCCACACTAGCTCCTTACACCAGAACAATGGGACATGTTCATCTAATTTAACTTTTACAAGGATTTGTTTTTATTTTATATGCATGAGTATTTGTCTGCATGTATGTGTGCCCCACATACAAGCCTCGTGCCCATGGAGACCAGAAGGGGGTCATAGTCTCTGGAACTGAAGTTAAGCTGGTTGTGAACGGCTGTATGGGTGCTGGGAACCAAACTCAGGTCATCTTCAAAAGCAACAAATACTTAACTATTGAGGCATCTCTAGCCCCAACTAAAAAATAATAGTATTTCTTTGTACCCATGGGCACAGTGTGCAGTGTGTTGCTGATTTAAATAGGATTTTGTTACATCCATGGGCACAGCGTGCAGCATGCTGCTGAGCACACAGTGGCAGAGCACGGCTTTCAGGAGTCAGTTATATCTTTCCACCTGAGGATCCTGGGACCAGGCAAAGCCGTCAGACTTGGCAAGCAGGCCCCTTTATCAACTCCTAAACCTGTTTAGGTTTTTTGTTGTTTTGAGACAGGGTCTCACCGTGTGATCTTGGCTACCCTGGAACTTGTTAAGAAGACCAGGTTAAGGTGAGTTAGCACATTGTCAAACTTGGTCTTTAAATTACTTAATCTCATTTTTTAAATTTAGTAGCGTTGGGGGACACATACCACTGTGCATGTATAAAGGTCAAAAGAAAACTCTGTGGAACTGCTCTCTCCTACCTTCATGTAGGTTCCAGGGACTGAACTCAATAGGGGTCATTACCTGCTGAACTAGCTCCATGGCCCTATTTATTAAGTTTTTTGAGATTATGTTTTGTTATTATTGCCAAGGTTGGCCTTCAAGTCTTGGGCTCAAATGATCCAGTTGCCTTGTAGACAGCAGAGACCACAGGCAATTGCCACCCGCTGAATTTATTTTGTGTATTTTCTTTTTAACATCTAGTGGAGGGGTACACACACACACACACACACACACACACACAGGTCATAGCATGAGTGTGGAGGTCAAATGGCAGCTTGTGTTGGTTCTATTCTTGCCCTGTGTGGAACCTGGGGATTGAAGTCATCAGCTTGGCAGTAGCCCCTTCACCCACAGAGCCGCTACCTCTCTGGCCCGTACACTGACACTTTAAGCATAGAAACACATGCAGGGGAGTTAACGAAACTCACTCAAAGGGACACAGCAAAGGCACAGCTGCTGAAAGACACGAGACACATTTCTTCCTCTCCGTCTCTGGCTTCCATTCTTGTCCTCTATCCCCATTTTCCTTTCCTAGCCTGTTCCAAGACTTCTTTTAAGAGAGGGCTCTCTGCACCCTGCCCAGCGTACAGGGACTTCTGGTTTGGTTCTGTCACTCCAGACGTCTCTAGTTTCTCCCTTTTCCTCGCTGTTATGCATCTGTTTGCAGTCTGGACATATCACTCCCTTGTGCTGCCACACCCAGGACTGTTGTCCAACAAGGAAGAAGTAGGCTGTTCTAACCACACCCCTCCCTCTTAGTTGTGAGCGTGGGCAGACGCTCCTGCAACTTAAAGCTCCAGACCCACACCCAGATTCCAGGTCTCGTCCGCTCTCCTGCTGACTGCTCTGGCGCCTGCCAGTCCAGCAAACAGGTACTTGCTCACTCCTCTGCTCCACTCCAGCAGGCTCCAGCAACCTCTGATGCCTTACAACGGCCACATCAATTCTTCTGCCTCTCTGCCCACCATCTTCTGGGTCAATGGCTCTGGAGACAGTGTGCTGAGTATTGAGGGTGCTGCAATGCCCATTCAGGTCCTTGCTTTGAGAGGATCGTGGTCACATTGGCCTATGGACTTGTAGGTATCATTGGCTTGCTGGGAAATTTGGCTGTGCTGTGTGTGTAGGGCAATGTGGTACAGTAAGTGTGTTGGCATATCTTGACTTATTGAGAAGTCAGGATATACTTAGAGCCACGATAGGACAGCTGGTAGAACCGCAATAGACAGCTCTGGAGAGGGGGTAGAGCCCCAATAGACAGCTCTGGGTTGGGGGTAGAGCCCCAATAGACAGCTCTGGGTTGGGGGTAGAGCCCCAATAGACAGCTCTGGAGAGGGGGTAAAGCCCCAATAGACAGCTCTGGAGAGGGGGTAGAGCCCCAATAGACAGCTCTGGGTTGGGGGTAGAGCCCCAATAGACAGCTCTGGGTGGGGAGAGTAGAGCCGCAATAGGACAGCTCTGGAGGCTGGAGCTGCAATGGGACGTCTCAGCAAGGTTTTTCAACTCAGTTCCCTAAGGGACATCCCAGCCCGGTTCTTCTGCTCAGCGCTGGTGAATGAAGGTCATCACTGAAAACTCTTTTGAGAAAGAGATTTATTTGGGAAGGAGTCCAGAAGGGTGGCAGCCTCTGCCAGGGAGGGATTAATGGCAGCTCTTAACTGAAGGAGCAGAGAGGCTTATACCCAACTTCTTAGGGGTGGAGTTTTCCCAGGGAGAAGGAGGATTGGTTAGTTTTTCCCTGCTCAGGGATTGGTCAGTTTAGCTGGTCAGAGGCAGAGAAGGCTCTGACTTTATGGCCAAACTGTGTTTCTTTCACTGGTCCTTTTTAGCTCTTTGATTCTAATATTAGGACCAGGGCCTATTTCTTTCACTGGCTCTGATTCTAGGGACAAAGTGTGTTTCTTTGACAGTAGTTTTAGAGCCAGAGCACATGTCTTTAGTCCTGGGTTCAGGGATAAAGATGTTTCTTTTCTGCCTCAGGCCTCAAAAACCTGGTGTTTCTTTCACTGGCTCTGGGTTCAGAGTCAGGGTGCTCGGTGATTGGTTGGTTTCCTGCCCTGGGATTGGTTGGTTCAGTGGGGCAGAGGCGGCTCAGCCTTCATGGCCAAACTGTTTCTTTCACTGGTCCTTTTAAACTTTTTGACTCTAAACTTAGGACCAGGGCATATTTCTTTTACTGGCTCTGATTCTAGGGACAAGTGTGTTTCTTTGATACTAGTTTCAGAGTCAGGGCACATGTCTTTAGTCCTTGGTTCAGGGATAAAGATGTTTCTCTCCCTGGCCCAGGTCTCAAATATAGGGTGTGTTTCTCTGATTCTGGGTTCAGAGCCAAGGTGCTCAGTGATCGTTCGGTTCCTGCTCCAGTTGTCCGTTACCCTACACTGTGGGTATTAGGCAATTGTGCTCAGCATGTGCCTGAACCACCTTCTGATATCTTTGTCTTCAGCCTGGCTCTGGCAGACCTGGGGCTGGCCCTCGCCCTCCCTTTCGCCTGGGCAACTGAATCAGCACTGGACTCACACTGGCCTTTCAGAAGTGCCCTCTGCAAGATAGTCCTGACACCCCTGCCCTCAGCATCCACACCAGCACCTTCCTAATTACAGCGCTGAATGTTGCCAGATACTGGGTGCTGGCCATGGTTGTGAGACCAGGCAGGCACCTGTCTATCTTCCAGATATGTGTGGTCACCCTGGCCGTGTGGGTGGCGGCTGCCCTGGTGACTGTGCCCACAGCAATCTTTGGGGCTGAGGGTGAGTTGTGGGGTGTGTGCCTCTGCCTTCTGCGTTTCCCCAGCAGATCCTGGCTGGGGGCATACCAGCTACAGAGGGTGGTTCTGGCCTTCATTGTGTCCTTGGGCACCATCACCACCAGCTAGCTACCTGCTGCTGCTGGCTTCTCTACAGTGTCCGCAGTGACGCAGGCCTCCACAGTGGCAGGACAGCCGAGTGGCAGCCCGCTCTGTTTGTGTTCTGGTGGCTTCCTTCGTCCTCTGCTGGTTTCCCAACCATGCAGAATGCACTCCGGGCATTCTGGTAGAGTTTTACCTGGTACCCTGGGACAGCACTTTCTACACCATCCGTACTTACGTTTTTCCTGTCATCACCCGCTTGGCACACAGCAACAGCTGCCTCAACCCTGTGCTCTGCAGTCTCCTCCGGCGCCAGCCTCAGCAAGTTCTGAGCAGTGTCTTCAGGGACCCTTGGTCAAGACTGTGGCCCCAAAGCCAGGCCTGTGTGGAAGAAGTGGCCCTCAAGGAAGTAAGTGGGAGACGGGCACCCAGAGAGTGGACAAACACAAAGGGACTCCTGGATGAAGGATGCAGCCTGGACGTTCCCTTTTCTGAGCTCTACCGGGAGCAGAACCCACAGATTCTGGGGAGAAGCTGCGCTCTCAGCCAGTCTGCAGGGTTCCAGGGAAAGTCTGACCTTTGATCACCAACTGTGGGTGTGATAGGACACAGAAGCTGGAGCCCAGGCCGAAAGTGGGTGTGGCAAAGCTTGTCCCTAGAGATGGCAAAGAGAAACTGGGACTAAACCTCGGCATCATCCAGACTGTCTGACCTTTCATGCCGGTACAACACAGGATACCTTCCCTGACGGGGTCTAGACCAGCAAGTCAGACGTGGGTTCTCCCTGTCTTTCTCACTTCAAAACAGGGCATCCCTTAATCCCTCTTTGGTACCAAAACCAAAAATGCCTTCTCTGGCCAAGCAGCTTCTTCTCCTCTCAGGGGTAGCCAAAGAAACGACACAGAAGCCTCTGCTTTTGCAGCAGGAAGATGCCAGAGCGGGGCTTGCTGGAACCTGCAGTTCCAGTCGGGAGATCCTGGATGTGTAGCCTGGGGAGAACAGTGAATAGATCCGTGTCCTTCAACCAAGCACGGAAGGGAGGCAATTACGAGGGAAAGACATGGTGGGGTGGGGCGAAGGTGAGAGGTACCGAAGAGGTCTGGAGGATCAGGAAGAATCAGGAACCAAGGCTGAGTTTCAGTAGCCCGTCCCCTTGGGCGAATCACCTCTATACATCAGGTTCTTCTTGTTTGCTTGCTTTTTTCAAGACAGAATTTCTCTGGGTAGCCCTGGTTGACCTGGAACTCACATTATAGACCAGGCTGGCCTCGAACTCACGGAGTTCTGCCTGCCTCTGCCTTGCCTTCCAAGAGCTGAGATTAAAGGCGTGCCCACTGCCAACCTCACATTTCTTTTTAAGTTGGAGTGGGGTCTCAGGCATGTAGCTGAGGGTAGCTTGGAACTCTTTAATCTTGATCCCAAATGCTAGAATTACAGGCATGTACTAACACATTTAGCCTTCTTAGTTCAGTGTATTCTTGTTTCCTTTCCTTTTTCTCCCTTCCTTTGTGTGTATGCATGTACATTTGTGTGTGTACTCACACTTGCGTATGTGAATGCCAGAAGCAGACGTAAGGTTTCATCTTCAATTTCTCTCTTGTTCTCTTGGAGACGGGGTCATATACATCTCTCTGGCTTACCTGGAACTCATTATGTAGTCCATAGATGCACCTGCCTGTGCCTCCCAAGTGCAAGTGATAGGTGTGTATCGCCACACCTTGCTCTTCCTTTTACAAGGTACACTTGTTTGGGCAAGGAGACGTGCCACTTCCATGTGGAGACCAGAGGACAGCTTAGAGTCAATTCTCTCCCGCCATCTGAGATTCAGGGATTGAATCTAGACTATCAAGCTTTGTAGCAAGGACCTCTACCTGCTCAAGTATTTTTCTTAATTTTTTTGTATGTGTATTGGTGTTTGCCTGTATAAATATTAGTTTGTTGGGTTCTTTAAATATATAATTTATTTTTAATTTATGTGTATTGGTGCTTTGCCTAAATGTATGTCTACGTGAGGGTGTCAGATATCCTGGAACTGGAGTTACAGACAGGTATGAGCTGCCATATGGGGGCTGGGAATTGAACCTGGGTTCTATGGAAGATCAGTCAGTGCTCTTAACCAAGCTCTCTCCAGACCCTGTTGAACCCCCCCCCACGCTTTTGTCTTGAGACCATGGTCATGGCAGTCCAGGAACTCACTCTGTAGACCAGGCTGACTTTGAATTCAGAGATCCATTGTCTTCTGAGTGTTGAGATTAAAGGCGTTTGTCATTCTACCTGGCTGTTAATTTTTTTTAATTGAAAAAAAATTATGTAAGTGTGGAGTGAGTGCCCAGATAGCAGCTCCTCTGGAGCTTATTTCAGGGGGCTGTAAACTACCCAGCACAGGTGCTGGCAACCAGATTCGGGTCCTGTGGAAAATCAGTGAGCACTCTTGACTGTCAAACTAGCTCCCCAGCCCCATCTTACCTGTGAGAAAGGGTCTCACAGTGACCTTGGAACTGACCTACTGGCTTGACTGGCTGACCAGTGAGAATCGGGTGCTGCTGCAGCTGGCTTTTATATAGGTGCCAGGGACCATACTCGGGGCCATGGCTGCATGACAAGAATGGTATTGAGCCAGCTATTCAATTCAGCCGTGTGTGTGTGTGTGTGTGTGTGTGTGTGTGTGTGTGAGCTGGAGATTGGCCTCCAGCTCAATAAAAGCTGGCCTGGAACTCCTGATTCTCTTGTCTTCCCTCCCAAGTACTGGGGTGCTGCCATGCCCAGCTTTCTAGAGTATCTCAGTTGATGGAGTGCTTGTCTAATCTCTTCAATTCAAGATATGTCTAAACTACATAGAGTCCAGAACCAGCTTGGGCTAGAAACTATCTCAAAAATGAAAGGCTGTTGAGGACTCAACAGTGTCGGAGGAGGCAGTATTACTATTATTTGCAGTTTCCATGTAAAATGGAAAGGAGGAAATAGGGCAGCTGACAGATAGGAAGCCATGGAGGTCTTGTCTATTTTGTGTCCTGTTGTAGGGAGTATAATGAAAGTCTCGCATAAAAGAGATTTGGTTATGCATACCCATACATGCACACCATAGACACACATACATAATAAAATTTTTTAAGGACCAGAAAGATAGCAAGCAAAGCAGGGAAAATACTTGGCGCACAAGCCTGGCAACCTGGGTTGGACTGTCAAATCTACAGAGAGGTGAACTGAGAGACCTAAGTATGCAAAGTTGTTCTCTAACCTCCATACTTGTGCTCTGACATGTATGTCACTACACACACTAACACTTCCTAAAATTACAAATAGTAACAAATAGCTGGGCATGGTGGCACACGCCTTTAATCCCAGCACTCTGGAGTCAGAGGCGGGCGGATCTCTGAGTTCAAGGCCAGGTCTACAGAGGAGTTCCAGGACAGGCTCCAAAAGCTACAGAGAAACCCTGTCTTGGAAAACAAAAACAAACAACAACAAAAAAACAAAAGAAACAATAACAAAAGCAAATCGAGGAGAGCTGTGAGTGAAGTACTTGGAGCAGACATGCAGAGAGCCCGATGAGTTCAGGAGCTAGCTTTTACCCCGTGTAAAAATCCTGGACACCGTGGTGCTGGGGAGGAAGACAGGAGGATCTCCGAGACCCACTGACCACTCTAGCCACTCAGCAAGCTCTAGCTTCAGGGACATACCTGGTCTCAAAAACCCAGGTAAAGAGCAACCAGCATCAAACTCTGCAAAGAGAGACGCCTTTGCGAGTGTCTTCTGAACAGAGGGGCTCCTTTGCTTTCCTTCTTCATTTAAAACAAAATGACCGAAGCTGTCCATCAGGAGGGATCTTACTGGGGTCTGCTTCTGGGATGAAGGGGAGGTATAGGGGAGCCCCTACTCCAGGCCCTCCCTTCAGGACCAGTCTCTGGGATGACTAGTCCCTGTGGGGGAGCCACAACACCTCAGGCACCACTGCCCGTTCCACCCAGTCGACTGCCCACAAGCTTTGAAGAGTTGCCCAACTCACGACATATTGAAGGATGGGAACGAGATTTAATTAGCCTCTTGATGTTTAATTTCCTCTTTTTGATAATGTTTAAACTGGCTCCAAAATGCCAGGCCTATTACTAGCCATCAGGAAGGTGAGAAATGTTCCCCTCCCTGAACATTCTTCTGGCTGCCCCAGCAGCACCTCTAATGGCCTGGCTGGGGCCAGATATTACCCTCTCTGGGGGCATCCGCTTTACAGAACCCCGGGGGTAAATATCGACAACTCAAGTAGTTGCCTGTGGCCCTACTTCTGATGGAGGGGGGGATGAAGGGGGATGCGGGTAGAGGGTTGAGGGGGTGAGGAAGGAGGGCTGGGCACCCAGGGTTAGAGCCCCCTCCAAGGGAGTAGTATGGTATAGGTAAGGAGCTGAACCCTGGCTCCCAGAACACACTGCCACAGAGGTTTGAAATGGCAGCAGTGGGGAGAATAATCAGGTTCAGAAACACGGCTAGGGAGAGGGCAGGCCTAGGGATGGGAAGATGATAGGACGGGATTGGCTCTGTGCTGATAATGGGGTGGAATTGGGTAATAAGGCAGCAGAAGCACCCCAGCTTCTCAGAACTCATACTCTGGGACTCAGTCTCCAGGTCCTAGGTTTTCTCTTGGCCCCTCTGGAGAAGGTTGGGAAGTTGCATCTTCTCCTGACTTTACCACTGTCTCTTCTACTTGACCTCTGCACGCTTAGTGCTACCTGGAACGCAGCTACTGAGCCACCAGAATGCTCGAAACTGTGTGCTGCTGTTTGTAAGGCAGAGGGGAAAGGAGAGGGAGCAAGGACGGGCTTCTGGGCCTGGCAACCATTCTGCACCCATCATGTAAAGGAAAACAGCAGAGGCTGGGCATACTGGCTCACGCCTGCAATGCCAACACTCGGGAGGCTGCGGCAAGAGGATTGACGTGAGTCCAAGGCCAGCCTGGGCTTCACTGCAAGACCTTGTCTCAAAAATAATAATAAAGTAAATAAATAAACATATAAAACAACTCTTACGGCCCAAGAATCCTATGATTGGCTAGAAAGTGTCTCGTAAGGGCCAGAGGCTTATGGAGGGGAGTATTGGCAGCGTCTCAAAGCCTGCTGCCCATGCAATGCCAAGTCTCCTTTTTAGTTGGGGTCCTGAGACCCTTCTTCTCACCCTGCATCACAGGCTGTGGGGGTGTGCATGCACTGACCCTGCCCTATGGGCTAAGTGTAGGGCCTAGAAACAGGAAGTGGGATGAACCAAAACCAAGAACTGAAACCACTTCCTGCCTTTCCACTAGGCAGCATGAGCAGGGCTGCTCCTCTGAGAACTCAGCCCTGAGTCAGACTCTGTGGAAATGAAGCCGGGGGGCGCACGGCGGGCAAGAGCCAGATGTGATGATATCCAAGCACAGCATACAAATAAGATGCAAACAAGTTTTCTAATATTGGAGTCACCAACAGCTCCAGGAGCTTGGGTGCAACTTCATTTTTATCATTGTAATTTTGAGATTTTAACGAGGGTTTGGGCAGCTTCATTTTTTTTTTTAGTGCCCTCTTCAGTGAGGTAGTGACAGCCCCTTTATAGAAACCGTGGTCACTGCCTGGCTGCAGGCACTGTAATCCTTAGAATGGGCCACTAGAGACAGCACCTGGTGCGTTTCAGGTCTTTAATTTTTTTCCCTGCTTGAGTTTTTCTTTCTTTCTTTGTTGTTACTGTCTCTGTCTTTTTGTTTTTAACAATGAAATTGGCCGACAAATGGCTACTGCTGGTGGGTATTCGGGTTGCATTGAACCCCCACTTTCTTGCTTACGTTTCAACCATAGTTGCCATGGTGGGAGATGAGGTGAGGGTTCGAGGTTCCCTAACCCACCTTAGGGATGGATCTTCTTTCAAATGGCTGAGGAAGAATTCCGAATAGGAGAGCCCTGACTGTAGGTGAAAGAAGCCACTGTCTCCCCAGTTCCTCAAGTTCAAAGACATGGAGCTAGAAGTACCTACAATCTTCTTTTAAAAATATAAAACACGTGCGGTTGGCTTTGGTACAAAAAAGAAAATAAAAACAAAACATTCTGGTCCCTGTGGATTTTTCCTCCCCCACCCCAATACATCATGGCCACCCTAGCCTCGACTCCATCAACCCCAAGGAGCCGGATTTCCATGGAGGATGAAGAGAAGGAAGACCAGCAGGAGGAGCCTAAGGAGAGTGGGGAAAGGGACACAGGCCTACCCCAGCCCTCCTTAAAGGGGCAGTAGGTACTGTGGCCACGGATGGGAGTCGCTGGAGTGGGTGTTAGCCGGAGCCAGCAGCTCGTGGCTAAGCCTATACGTGTCCCAGCGGTGCTAAAAGAAAGGCCCTCTGGTCCCTATGGCTTGGTTCCCATGTCCCTGGTCCTTTAAGTCTCACTCTCCCCCACATAACCAATAAACAATAAATAAATAATTTTTCCTAAGTAGAGGGAAGAAGGCATGAAAAACTGGCATCTGTGGTGTAGCTCTTGGATGCCACCTGGGGGGCTGTGGCCTCTAAATCCCCAGTCCCACATGGCCATAGGTATCCAAGGATCCCAGGAGCTGGCAAGGACAATCAGCAGTTCTTTCAAATATTCCCTCATTATTGGCAGAACGGAGTCCCCAAGGTTTGACCCCTTTACTAATTAATGTTCTTCAGTGGGGCACCAGGCAGGGGGTGGGGTCCCCTTAGCTCTCCGAAGCTGTAGGCTCCCCATCTCGGCTTTCTGTCTCCTCCGGGATGTCCTGCATTCGGGTGAAGTCTGGAGAGTGAAAGGCAGGGTAGAGGCGGTGAGGAGTAGGCACGCACTCACACGCAGGCCCCTGCGCAGACATGGGGTGCAGCCTCTGGGCACCCTGGCAGGATGACTGTTACAACATGAAACCCCGGGAGGGGTTTGACTGTTTTCTCTCCATTAGGATGTGGCAGTCTTTAAACCGTTTTACTTTAAAATGGATTTCTACTTGTAAAGGCTGGGAGCCATCAACCAATTAGAAAAACTGCCTCTCAAGAGTTCTACTACCCTGGGCAGCGACAGTGCCCACCTTTACTTCCAGGACTTGGAAGGCAGAGGCAGGTGCATCTCTGAATTTGAGGCCAGTCTCTGGTCTACAGAGGGAGTTCCAGAACAGCCAGGGCTATACAGAGAGACCCAGTCTCAACAAACGAACAAGAAAAACAGCAGAAAAGAGCTCCACCCCCCGTTTGTCATGACACAGAGCAGAAATCTTCCCTGTCTTGGAATAACGACCTCAGGAGCCACTTAGCAGCCCCAGACCCTGACCCCAGAGGTCTCACCTCGAGGACTGTGAGGTGGAGATAAGCGGCTGCTGCCTTCCTCCTCACTGCCGGTGTCGGGGTCGCTGCTGTCCTGCAGCCGCTCCTCGGGGCTACCAAGCTCCTGCCTCTCCCGGTCTTCAAAGGGTCGGGGGACGGAACGGACAGTCACGGGCAAATCCAGGCGGTCATGGCCTCTGCTGGGCTATGGAAAACAAAAGGACAAGACCAGGAGATGGAGCAGGCACTGGTGGGTGAGGGCAGCGAGCCCTCCAGGATCCCAACACACCTCATCTCTTGAGGTTTACCAATGACCCCCCCATCAGTAGATCAACCACCAATTGGCTCTCCTCTCAGCGAGACAAACATATTGTTTGCCTTCAACCCTCATCTCTATATCTGCTGGGACCAGCTGGTTCTCCAGCCTCAGGCTTCACATACAAGGACTCCAGGTATAGCAATGCCTGCAGTGCCCCACACAGACTACTAGGAGAAATCTGGGGAGAACAGAGTAGAATCGCTTGTTGAAGTGCTGGACATTTGCATAGGCCTCTACCACTGAGCTTGCCTTGAATTTCTTTTCAGTTTAACTGTATGATTTTGTCTGTCCTTCAGGTTCTGCTGGCTCTCATGTTTCTGAGATTCACTCCACACTCCAGGCAGCCTCACCTGAGGGGGATTGAAGCTCAAGTAGAGAGCATCGCCTGCTGGAAGGCTGCGGCGCCGAGGGTCCAGAGGCCTGCGGGCCCAGGGGGCCTCCGCTGGGAGTGGCTCATTTTGGCCCAAGGCCGCCAGCTGTCGGCGGGCCTCTTCAGCCTCCCGCTCCAGCAGGGCCCGGGCTTGTTCACTCTCTCGGAGCCGGGCCTCCAGACTGCCAGCTTCGGTGGCCCGCTCTTCACCCAGCCGCCGGCAGCGTCTCAGCTCCTCCTGAAGCAGCGTGTGTTGCCGCTGCAGCAGGGCTAGTTCTGTTGCCTGCTTCTCTGGGGCCACAGGAGCAACCATAGCCCGGCCGGCTTCGCCATCCCGAGAGTTGGTTCGGGATAGCTTTTCCCATCGTTCAGGACCCTCAGGGAATCGGGCTTCCATCAAAGTGTCCTGCTGGGCCACAGCAGCCTGAGGATGGGATGAGGCCAAAAGGACTTTCAGAAGCCACCTACAGGGACACCTCGGGCTGGCTCCTCCCCTTCTTCCCCATTCCAGACCTTGCTCACTGACCTGAAGGCCATGTAGAAGTCCGTAGAGATTGACCAATCGCTGTAATGCCTCCTGTGGACAGAGAAAGGATGGGTGCACCAGTGCCCAAGCTTAGGATCAGTGCCCAGAAGTTGTCAAGAGGCTGCGGAAACATTAGTGCTAGAGACATACGCCCCCCTAAATCACCCAAACTAGGCAATGATTTCTCAGATAGAGACCAGTTTCCCTTTCCCTCTATCTCCTCTACTGCAGAATCCCCATCTTACCTCCTGGGGTGACCTCAACTGATTTCCATTCCGATCCTGCAGAAATGGGCAAGGAAGGGGAGTCAGCAGGCACAGCAGACGTGGGGGCCGCCCCAGTAGCTTTCCATTGAAGAGCCACGCACCAGGTGTGCCCTTCCTCTAGCCACTCCCTGACTCTCGAGAACCCACCTTTTGGCTGGCGTCTGAGTCTGCTCTACAGAGCTCAATGGAGCCATTGAAAGTCCTGGCTTCTCCATCTGTTGCAGAAGAGAAAGAAGAGAGTACACTCACCTCCTTAGGGACTGTAACCCCCCCCCCCCAGTCACTCCCGCCTCGCTCTCACGCCCCATACTCACTAGCAGTGACCCCAGGACTGGTGTTGCCACTATCAGGTTCCAGAGGTAAAGCTGGTTCTCGGGGTGTCAAAAGCAGATCAGCACCAGGCCCCACCAGCAAGTCTTTCAGGCCTTCCACTGAAGGGGAAGAAGAGGGGACAGGGACAGGAGACAATACTGAGTGGAATTCATCCAGCACACAGTGACCTTTCAAGTATTTAGGGACTCAACATTGAGGTGGTGTGGTTTCAGTCCGCATGCTGCACCCAAGGGACCGCAAAGATGTGCAAGGGGCAACAGCGCCTGACAGAGGGAGGGGCATTCAGCAGCAAGGTCAGCTTTCCTCCCTGCTCTGCCCAGGAACTGGACCAGGACAAACCTTCAGGGGCCTTTAAGGGTTGTGGGGTTGAGATGGCCCTGGTCTGAGTGCACAGCCCTGACACATCAGAAGGAGAGCCCTCACCTTCACGGATGGCATCTCGTAACAGCCGCTCGCCTCGAGGGGACTCAAGGGACTCAGAACGGAAAAGGCCCCTGGGCAGGGTGGGCAGGGGCATCCCACTGACACTATCTTCATCTGCCTGGAAGTGGGTCATCTCAGCAAACAGCCCAACCTTCTCCTGGAGCAGCTCCACCAGCGCCCGGTCCTTTTGCTGCAGCTCCACTGTGGACAGAAAGAGGTAAGCATGGAAGGAAGGCCCAAAGACCCAAAGAGCCTGTGAAGGGGCAGCCCAGGGGACAGGGTCAGCATGGGCAGAGTGGCAGGACTTAATTTTGGGCTTGGAGCCACCCCCTGCCCACCTCCCAAAAACCTTGTGTGTGATATAAATCATTGCTACTTTTGTTTATAAAAATCTGTGAATCCAGCACTCAGGAAACAGAGGCAGGTGGATCTCTGTGAGTTCGAGGCCAGCGTGGTCTGCAGAGCAAGTTCCAGGTCAGCCAGGGCTACATAGAGAAACTCTGCCTCAAACCAAACCAAACCTGAGAAAAGGGTTCAGGCTGTCTGTCTCACTCTCTCTATGCATGCGCAGAAGTTTCATCTGGTCCCTGGCTCCCTGCGCACTCAGCAAGTGTGCTTCCCAGAATGACTTGCAGTTAGACACTGGCCTCATGTGTAGCTAAGGCTGGTCTCAAACTCCATATATAGTTGAGGATGCGCTCTGCAGTCTTTTGAATGAGATGTTCCCCCACAAGTACCAAGAATTTGAATACTTAGTACCCAGTTGGTAGCTATTTGGGGAAAGTTAGGAGGGAGATTTGCTGGAGGAAGTACGTCACTGGGGGCGGGCTTTGGAGTTTCAAAAGACTCCAGCTCTCTCTCCTGTTCCAGCTGTCTCATTTGCCACCTGCTGTTCCTACCATTATGAACCCTCTGGAACCGAAATCCCAAAAAAGTCCTTCTTTCTTTGAGTTGCCTGGGCCATGGGGTTATACCACAGCAATATAAATGTAATCAAGACAGCCTAACCCTAGTACTGCCTTCCAAATGCTGGAGTTACGAGTGCACACCACATACCCTGTTCTCACTTAAAAAAAAAAATGTCTAACCATTTTTGGTTGTTGGTTTTTTTGGATGTTTTTGAGACAGTTTCTGTGCGTGTAACAGCCGTGGTTGCCCGGGAACTCGATTTAGCCTTGGACTTAGAGATCCACCTGACTCTGTCACCTGAGTGCTGGGAATAAAAGTGTGCACCACCAAGCCTGGCATCAACATTATTTCTAGGCATATAGGTGTTTTGCTGCATTTATGTCTATGCACCATGTACATGCAGTGCCCTCAGAGGCCAGAAGAGGGCATCAGATGTCCTTGGGACAGAGATTTTACACACACACACACACGTATATGTATTCATGTATGTGCTTATGTATATTTATATATACACATACATATATTTATTTACACATACATACACACGAATATCTATTTGCACCAATCTTACAAAACTGTAGCATATACTTCACATTGTTTTAAATCCTAGATATATATCAGGTCACATGAAGCTTTCATTTTTTCCCCTAAGATTTATCTATTTTTATTTTATGTGTATAAGAATTTTGCCTGTTTGACTGAAGAGATGACTCAGATGTTAAGAGCACTGGCTGCTCTTCCAGAGGTCCTGAGTTCAATTCCCAGCAACCACATGGTGGCTCACAACCATCCGTAATGAGATCTGGTGCCCTCTTCTGTCATGCAGACACACATGCAGACAAAACACTGTGTACACAGTAAATAAATAAATCTAATAAAAAAGAAAAAAAGGAAAGAATTCTGCATGCGTGTACATATGTGCACAATGCATGTGACCAAGGTGGCCAGCAGGCATTAGGTCTTCAGAACAGGGTTACAGACATTTGTCACCAAGTGGGTACTGAGAACTGAATCGGGGTCCCCCAAAAGAGATGCAGTACTTTTTGAACCTCGAAGCCACCTCATCAACCTCTTTCTCATCTTTTCCAGAGCTGCATAGTGTTTTGTACGGCTATGCCGTAAACCGACACATGCCCTGAAGGGAACTTACTCTTGATCCTCCGGAGGTAGGCCTCATCCTCCGTCTCGATCAGGGGGAAGTCCTCCCTAGATGGGCATCTGCAGAACAACAAAGAGCTGAGTTTGCGGAGGAGACACCAGCAGCCGTCCTGACCTCACACACACTCTATGGCACCTCTCCCACTGGCGTTTCCAGCTTCTGATCCTCTGCATGTCCCCACACCTGAGGACGGAACCCGGGGCTCCCAGGTGCGCACACTATCAGTTGGGTTGCATCACTAACTCTGTTGCGGTTTTTTAAGACCTCAGCCCAAGTGGGTCCTGAAATCCTTTATGCATCAAAGTTGACCTTTAACTCTGAATCCTTCTGCCTCTGCTTCCCAGGTATCGGGGTTATAGACATTCATGCCACACCAAGCTGTTTTCAACATTTTCTGCCTGAGTGTCTACTTTTTCCCCACTCAACTAGACATTTGGCTGATAACTTCAAGTCCAATGGTTGTCCTTAGCACAACTGATTTACTCCTTGCATCTACTGTGTGGAATAAATCGTACTCAACTCATTAATATCAATGCTTTAATTATGCTATTCTTTCAATTTTAGAAAATAAAGATAAAATGCTACAACCCAAATAAGAGACTTTTTCCTATTGCCAGTGCTGTTAGTGCGGTTACACTATCGCTAACTGGTAGGGAAGTCACCAGAAAGAGCCGCATAACCCTTGTCAGTGCAGAATACTTGGAGGGATAGCAGGGGTTGTCTGGGCATAAACTATAACTTCATGTATCTTTCTTTTCATTTTTTCTTTCTTTTTCTTTTAATATTTATTTATTATGTACACAATATTCTGTCTGCACGTATGCCTGAAGGCCAGAAGAGGGCACCAGACCCCATTACAGATGGTTGTGAGCCACCATGTGGTTGCTGGGAATTGAACTCAGGACCTTTGGAAGAGCAGGCAATGCTCTTAACCTCTGAGCCATCTCTCCAGCCCCTCCATTTTTTTTTCTTTAGACAGGGTTTCTCTGTGTAGCTTTGGAGCCTGTTCTGGAGCTGGCTATGTGGATCAGGCTGGCCTCGAACTCACAGAGATCAGCCTGCTTCTGCCTCCTGAGTGCTGGGATTAAAGGTGTGCGTCACCACCGCCTGGCTCATGTATCTATCCTGGCTCATCTTGTCTTCCTCCAACCTCTGCCCCAGTCTCTGACGATGGTTCTGTTACCAAGGAGTATTCTGTTTAGGACCTGAGACCATGGGACCCTGAGGCCATATATACACACAGGCAGCAGGCACACACTCACACGCGCACGCTCTGCTGAATGACACGGATCCAGGTACTACGGTCATCTCGGGACGCTGTGTGCACCTCGTACATCTCAGGCGGGCCAGCACTGATCAAAAACATCCCTTTCGCCTGGTTGGCAATGTCTCTTACGATCAGATTCTGTAAGGATACCACCGAAGGCTTGTCCTATCAGGGAAAAGGAAGAATTAAGAGTAGGAATATTAACCCTTAATATCTTGGTTCTCAGTTCTGGATTGAAGATAATGCTGTATATGCAAGATCCCAGGCATCAGTACCAGCCAAGATTTAAAAGTGTATGTGAGACCCTTGATAGTCACATCCCCCACAGGGAGCTTAATATGTAACCTTAACTGGTATTGAACTCACTGTGTAGCCCAGGATAGCTACACAGTTGCAATCCTCAAGCCTCTGCTTTCCCAGTACTGCAATTACAGGCTTCTGGCTGCTATGCTTTTTTTGTTGTTGAGCTGGGACTTAACTATGTAACCCTGACTGGCTTGGAACTTGCTATGCAGACCAGGCTAGGCTTGAACTCTGAAACCTACCTGCCTCTGCCTACCAAGTGTTGGGATTAAAGGTGTGTCCCACCATCCCACGGCAGAGATTGATTGATTGATTGAGTGATTGATTGATTTATTAGGGTTGGGACCTCTCATATAGTCTAAGCTAGACCTGAACTTACCATGACCTCCTGCCGCTAACTCCCAAGTGCTGTCGTTATAGGCATGTACCACTGTATCATCTTCATTTCTACAAAGTAATGCTAACGATGGGCTTTCCTCACAGGAGAAGCATGCCTGTGCACAGCACTAACAGCTTACTTATTATATAGAATTAACAGGTATAACAGGTATTTGACTCCATGTCTTTCTTGGGTCTGATAAGAACAATGAGTAAGAGAACAGAAGGAAGGCTCACCAGGGCAGGAAAGATGTACTTCTGGTCCTTTTCCTGGAGAAACACTAGCACATCTGTCATCAACAGCATCAGCACATCTGGCCAAGACATAAAGTTGGAAAACGGTCAGCACTAAAGGTCAAAGCAACTGTTTGCCTTCTTCCCTAGGACCAGCGCCATAATCAGATGTGTCTGGATTCCCTTAACAAGAAGGGTGGAATTCTAGGCCTTTAATTCCCATGTCCAGCATCTGACTAATGCAGAACCTTTTTAGGTATTATTTTATTTATTTGTTTGCTTGTTTAAATATTTGTTGTTGCTGTTGTTTTCCTTTCTTTTCTTTCTTTCTTTCTGTATATTTATTTATTTATTTATTTATCTATATTTTTTGATTTTTCAAGATTTTTCATCTGGGCGGTGGTGGCACATGCCTTTAATCCCAGCACTCGGGAGGCAGAGGCGGGCGGATATCTGTGAGTTCGAGGCCAGCCTGGTCTACAAGAGCGAGTTCCAGGACAGGCTCAAAAGCTACAGAGAAACCCTGTCTCTCCAAAAACTAAAAACCAAAACCAAAAAAAAAAAAAAAAAAAAAAAAAAAGATTTCTCAAGGGTTTCTCCGTAGCTTCGGTGCCTATCCTGACACTCACTCCAGGATGGCTTCAAACTCACAGAGATCTGCCCGCCTCTGCCTCCCAAGTGCTGGCATTAAAGGTGTGCACACTGGTGTTTTCGCCTGCCTGCATGTCTGTATGAAAGTGTCGGATTCGCTGGAACTAGAGTTACAGACAGCTGTGAGCCACTGTGTGAGTATAGGGAATTGAACCTGGGTCCTCTGGAAGAGCAGCCAGTGCTCTTAACCACTGAGCCATCTCCCAAGGCCCCCTTTTTAGGTATTCTAATGAACTGACACAGTTCTGCTTCTTACTTTTGCACAGCAGAGGGACAAGGTTAGCTTCCAAGAAAGCGGCACTGAAAGGCCGTCCCACCAGCCTGGACTCATCCCATCTCCAACCCCAGCAAGCCCGGCTTCACTTCCAGGCTCTCAGGTCCTGTGGGTCCTGCACTCCCAGGAAGGGAGGAACCAAAGACCAAGTCCATAAAGACCTGAATGCCACAGTTAAGAGCACACAGCCACCCTTGGCCTGTGGGGATTTTACTAAACTGTGGACACAGAAGGGGAGGGCTTTTGCTAATCCCTCAGAAATAGCGCTCTCCAGCCTTGCTATTTTTAACCCTCAATGCTTTATATTCTTAGCTGCTGCGTGGGAGGGATGGGAAGGAGAGAAACGGATGGAGGAAGAAGCCTGCTAAAGACTGACGGTACCCAGGCCCTAGGAGAAGGAATTTCACAGCACAGCTGGAATTTTCTAAGGGCTCTGGCTTCGGGTACCCCCCATCCTTGGCCTCTAAAACCAAAGTTTAGAGGTGCTATTTTCTTGTCCTGATTTAGGTTCAAGGACTTTATCAGTGCAGATAAGTTCTAATAAGGGAGCCCGTGGAACAGTGCCCAACCCCACCCAGTCCTCTTTCCAACCTCCCTGCCCTTCAGGGCTCAGTCCCCACTGTGGGTCTCCCAGATGGATCTCTGCTGTCCTAGCAGTAGGGATTGTGGCTGGAGGAATCTCCTTCTGATCTGCGTCTCTATGTCCCTTTGGTTAGGACAGGTAGTTCGCTGGCCACTCACAGACCACAGAAATGAATGCATTCCGATAAAGATGTCCCTGATGGCCCACACTGTCAAATGCAGAGTTTAGACTTCTGCAGCTATAGGTTACCTCTTTGCCTCCCGAATCTCACCCTTGGTGAAAGGCTGTAGGAACAGTCCCACAGGGTGGCCGCAAATCCCGTTCAGATAATCTAACTATGACTTATCAGGTCTGCCAGTGGGGGCACTGACCTTTGAAGCGACCTGCAGCTGTCTTCCAGAGCAGGCAGCCATCGTGGATAAGCTTACGCCTCAGAAGTTCCTCTCGGCCAAAGGGGCCCTTGCCAGGCACAGGGGTCTGAGCCCGAGGGTCCATTCGGTTGTAGATCTCCTGCAGGCGGGCCCCCTTCTCCAGCTCGTGCACATCCTGGTCCACATTGGACAGCAGCTCCTTCACCAGGCCTAGCGCTGCTGTCAGGTCTTGGCACTCTTCCTCAATCCCTGGTGCCACCAGATGTCCAGCACAAGAGAAGGTTTAGCTGGCGCCATCCCAACCCAATTCCACCGGGTGCTCAGAGCTCCCCACCCTTCCCCAGGGAGGCCCTGACCACCATGCTTTTCCTCACCGTGAGAATGCTGTAGGATCCGATTGATGAGCACTGGATATTTGGTGATCCGCTGAGTCACCAGCAGAATGCACTCCTGAACTCCATGTCGCTTCAACACAGCTGAGCGGGTCACTTTCTGTAAGGAAGATGAAAGACTAAGGGGACAGAAAGACTGGGAGCCCAAGCTCTGGAGCTGGCCCATCCTGGCATCTGCCCCACGTTGGCCTGGGTAGAAGGCTTCTGGGATATGGGGAAGAGACTGTCACAGGTCTGTGGTGATGACCAAGCCAATACGGTATGAAAACGAGTCTAGTGAGGGGGAAGCTCAACCAATCACATCTGGCTAGGGTGTGGCCGCCTGAAGCTCAGGTAGAAAATCGGGGTAGGTAGGCGCGCTCTCTAAGCGGTGCTCGCCGGACCCTTTTGGACTTCGGACCTTCCACTCCGGTAGCGTGAGTTCCCCTCTTTTTTCAATTATTAAATTATATCTGTTGTTCTTGAGCTGGTCTGGTTATTTATCATACCGACCGAATACACCAACACGTACATCCCCCTCCCCCAAAAAAAAACAAAACAAAGAAACCCAAAGAGATCTAAGAGCAAACAAGGCTCCATGAATGGTGTTCAAGTGCCTCCCTTTATGCATGCAGAGGGCATATGCTACCCTGGGGGCGGGAGAAGTTTGAGCCATGAGAAGGCTGAGCCTGGGTTTGGAGATGCTTGCTTACCCGGATGAACTGCTGGAAGCGTTTGTCTCGCGCATACAGCTCCTTATAGAGCTTTAAGGCCTTGGTGTGGCGGCTGCAGAACTCCGAGTAGGTCTTGCGCATTTGCTCTGCGCTGGAACCTGAGAACTAGAAGTCAGGACAGCAAGACCAGGTCAGCACAACCCGGGCCTTCCTCCTCTCCAGTCTCTTTCATCTTCCCTTCCTGCCACCAGAGTTCGGTTGGAGGTAAGAATTGCTCACTCTTTGGCTGACAACATGGTGGGAAAGAACCGACTCCCAGAATGGTCCTCTGACCACCACACGCTCATGCACATTCCTGTCCAGGCACACTCACGCACATACTTTTTCTTAATGAAAGAGCCCTGTACACTAGTGTGCATCTTTAACTCAGCACTTGGGAAGCAGAGGCAGATGGATGTCAGTGAGCTGCAGGCCAGCCTGGTCTACATATGAGCTGCCAGACAGCCAGAGCTACATAAGACCTTGTCTCAAAACAAGAAATGCTCACTTCTGTCCTAACTCCTTCTACAGACATCAGCCAGGAGCCCTGCCTTTTCCTACCTGGCTGATGAGCAAGTCGCCCAGACGATGGATGACAAAGTTCCGGGTGCTGCCTGGACATAGGGCCTGACGCCGACGTTCCAACAGCCGACTGAGGAAGCGCGTGTGAATGTCACTAAGCTCGTCCACGCAGGGAAACAGGCCCTGGACCACCCCAGGCTCCAGCTGCAACTCTTCCAGCATCCCAGTGCGAAAGAGGCGCGTCATGATCTTCAGTGTCCGCACATGGTGCAGCTCTGTCTGGATGAGCTCTACAAGACGAAGGGACGCTTGTCTCTGCGCTCTGCCTCGGACACAATCACGACGCCCAGGGTCTTTCTGAGTTAACTCGTACATCACTGTCATCTTAGATCATTTTCAAGTTTGTTTTTATCTCTATGCCTTGCCATTTCAAGCTGGGCACGATCTGAGGGCAAGAATCATGTGTGCCAGTTCCCAGCACAGCGCTGGGCGTGGAAGAGGCAGAGTGAAGAAGACGAGATCTAGGCGGGGGTCTTGGGAGCTGGGTGTAGTGGGGCATGCCTGCAATCCCAGAACTCAGGAGACCGAGGCAGGAGGACTGAGAGTTTGAGACCAAGCTGGCCTACACCCCAAGACTCTTCTCTAAGACAAGTAAGATTAAAAAAAAAACCCAATGGCACCAAGAAGTAGGTGCACAGGGGCATGGCGTCCTGACAGGTGGGTAGCACAGGGAAGATGTGGTCCAGCAGGGTCTGGTAGAAGGGAAGCTTGTGTGTCCCTGCGGCTTACCGTAGATGACATCCTGCTGCTTCATCACCTCCTTCTTGTGCTGCTGCAGGAAGCTGCTGTCCACCGCCAGGCTCCATGAATCTGCCGCAAAGTCCTTCTCATCCATCTCAAAGTCACTCATCAGTTCATTGTAGATCACTTCTGCACCTGGGCATTGGTGCAGGAGCCACCTCAGAATGCGGCTCTCCTCGCCTGGGCCCTTCCCTGGATCCTCTCCCTTCCTCCCTTCCCAGGCTTCTCACACCAGCCACGCCAACATGCCTCTCCTCCATGGTGAGGCTGCTCACCTTCATCAATAAGGGATTCCACGGACAGGGTTCGGTTCCGCATGTTGAGGGAGTCTGTGGACTGGGAGAGGATCCGACGCAGCCCCAGGGGAGACTCATCATTGAAATGTCTGAAGGAAGTGGAGGCCATCTACATCACCCCCACTCGGGCAGGAGGTCCCTTCCCAGGTTGGGTCCCTAAGGATAGCTACTCTGTGTTTGAATTTATCTTTCACATGGCTGTCTCCAGTTCTGAATTCATGGAAAGAAGTGGTGCTCTCCTGCCGGGACCCCTCCTCCCCAAACAGAAGCTCACCCAGCAATGTTGGTGGTGGAAACACTCTTGGCCAAAGACAAGGAGGATCGGCCACGCCGTGAACCTAGGAGGGACTGCCGAAAGCTATCAGAAGGGTAGATGGCAGAGGTTGGTCGCTCTCTGGTGGTTGCTGTAAGGAAAGAGGCCAAACAGGAAAAAACTGAATTCCTCAGCCCTTTGGTCTCCCAGGTTCCTCAAGTAGAACTACGGTGAACTGCCTGGCCTGTCTTCTGCTCTTTACAGTCAGAGGTTGGCAAACCAATCAAGAGAATGTCTCTGTCCACTGCGCAACCCTCCAGCATGAATTAAGAGCCTGTTCTTATATGTTCTTTAACCCCCAGAGAAGCCTGTGAGCAACGCAAAGGCCAGAGAGGTGAGACCGGTCTAGAGTGACCCAAGCCAGTGAGAAGGAACTTGGGCACTGTGCTACCTCTGATCTGACGTGTAACAGTCGTCACAGACAATTCCCAAATGAAGTATAGATAAATGGCAATCATAAAAAGATGTTGCAAGGTTCAAGTAACCAGCCATCCTTGTCCCTCAGACCTATCTGGACTTGCCTGTCTTGACAGTAACCCCAAGATTAAGGACCATCCCTACGCCACCCCCAAGACACTTCAATTTAAAAGGAGCTGTCTGTTCCTGGGTATGACCTCATGGGGGCAGCAGAGATCATGGGCTCAGGAGCTCGGTGGTCCTGGGGCTCATGGACCCCACTCTTACTAATTACTCACTCTTACTTCGGAGGGAAACAGACTGCAAGGCAGTGTTGTTCTTCAGCAGAGCAGCTTTCTGTTGCTGTGGCACAGAGCAAAGAGAGACACCAAGAACAGCTGTCACCCAGAGACCCCACACACTGTAGTTAGGCAGGGCTATGTTAACAGTAGGCTGTGGCCTAGGGGGCAGGTCTGGGCTGTCCCATGGCAAGGACACGCAGGGGAGGGAATGAACGAAAAACAGACAGGTACTGCGATCCCTGCCCTCTCCCCCAACCCTCGGCCCACCCTGCCCTCTCACCTTCTGCTTGACCTTGGTACAGTTGGCCAGGGTGTCTTTACAGCGGTTGTGGATAGTCACATTGCAGGCTGGGAGGGTGGGGTAGAGAGGGTGAAGGGAGGGCTGGGTGGCACAGGAGGGGACACACCCACATGTAAACACCCAACTTCCTAGGCCATACATTCTGCAGACACTCTTCCCAGTTTCCCAGAATCTCATGCCAATTCCTCCCCTGCCTCCCTCATCCTTCGGCAGGAATGGAAGTGGGAGGGGTCTGTGACCCAGAAGGCTGAACCGTTCTGGGGCCTGAGGGATGGGGAAGAAGGCATCTGCTGCTGGAGAAGAGCTGAAGGCATAAAGGACATGATGCTGGCAGAGGAGCACGGGGCCTCCCCAGACCAGACGGTGGCCGAGAGCCGGGACGCCCCTGGCCCCTGGCCCCCTGAGGAAAGCTCCCTGCTCACCCACTCAACAACTGCACTTCACAGATGAGGAACTTGGTCTGGATACTGTTCACTAGCCCAGTCACCCAGCTGGTGGAGAGTTACGAGTTAAACTTCAGTGCCTTAATTCAAAACCCATACTCTTGCCCAGTGGTGGTGGCGCAGGCCTTTAATCCCAGCACTCGAAGGGCAGAGGCAGATGGATCTCTGTGAGTTTGAGACCAACCTGGTCTATAAAGCAAGTTCCTGGATAGTCAGGGCTACACAGAGAAACTCTGTTTCAAAAAAAAAAAAAACAACACACACACACACACACACACACACACACACACACACACACGCACACGCACACACGCACGACGCAGAGCCCAAAGCCATACTCTTTCCCACACATGCCAGCAGCTTCAGAGTCTGCACCCAGTGGTCCTCCCTTCCCCAGCGGGGCAGTCTTCTGCACTAACTCCATCCAAACTGCTTCTCCCTTCTAGGCCTGGGAAGTTCTGTTCTCCACTAAGGCAAACTACAGCTCCCACACTCCATCTGCTTCCGCCCATCCCCCACCCACCTCTCCATGAAGTAGGAAAGGAAAAAGGAAGAACAGAGCCTGGGCTTAGGACCGTGGACTATCTCCTTCCTGACCTGCCTTCAGCGCTCCAGCACACCCCGAACCCCCCCCCAACACCACAGGAAACTGCTACCTCATACAGACAATGCCCAGTACCACGCTCACTTCCACAAATACAAGGCTCATAGGGTGGGGCAGAAGGGGACGATGGAAGCAGGGCTGTGGCAGTGCCTACCCTTGGAGCTCCCTTCTCCTACCCCCAACACCTAGTGTCTCTGGATCAAACCTCCGCTTTCCACCTGCTCTCAAAATAGTGCTACCCACCTCCCCTGTTCCCCTGGCAACAAGCTTCCGGATTGAGTATTTTGTCAGGTCTCCAGAGGGATCTAGATTGGGGTCCCTCCTCATCCTTTTAGCTCTAAATCAAGTGGTAAAGAAGTAGGGAGGCAGGCCCCAATAGTTCTTCCCGGGGTTCCTTCCCAAAGTCATAAAGGGAGTCAGAGTCAGACCACAACACCCCCATTCTACTCAGAAGAAGGCATGGGGCTGGGGGGCAGGGCGGCGCTGGAGCCCTCTGCACTGGTGACCTAAGAAGGCAGCAATTCCTCTCTATGTTCCTTCAGTACAGAGCCACCTTGGGACAGGATGAAGGTTGTATGCGCAAGATTAGGAATTTTGAGTCCTCTCTCCATCACACAGGTCTCTATTGCATTTCTTTATCAGGGTTAAAGAAATAGATAAGGCCTAGTTCCATCTTGTCCTTGAATCAGAAGACTTCAGAGTCCACCCACATGCAACAAGGGGATCCCAAAGTCGATCCAGTGGGGCCCAGAAAGATGGGCAGAGGCAGCTGCAGGGTTGGCAGCTTCCCTCTTCCCTAGCTCCTCTCCCACCCCGGTTCAAACACACATTCCTGCTCCTTTTCCAGGCAGTTCCCCTAACTGCCAACAGTTGTCAGAGGGCAAGTGGGATACCCAGAGACAGCTGGAAGGACAGCAGTCCCAGACTCTGCCAACCCACACCCAAGAGACCGGACTATGCCACATTCCAACAGCCACCACCCAGTGTGAGGAAGGGCAGCAAAGGGAGGGACCAAGCACCTGGACATGGGACTTGAGCCCAGGTGGGGCCCAGAAAATAGAGTCCCTTTTAAAGTCCCAGGGTGGAAAGGGCTAGGGTTGGTGATGACCCAGTCTGAGTGACCTGCGGGGACCAACAACTTACTTGGGCAGATGAGGGCTTCCTTGGCTGTGATGCTCTTGTTACAGGCGTAGCACATAGTCATGCCCGAGACCGAGATGGTGGTAAAGAGGTGGCCGTTGGTATAGCGAGCGTCCTTGGCTTCCTTCATCTTCTCCTTTTCCCGGGTCTGCAGAAAGGTCGAAAGATAGAGGTGAGGCCAGGAGAAGTCTAAGCACTGAAAGCAGAGCCTCGGAAGAAATGCCTGCCCAGAGGGTGGATGACATCAGTAGCTAATGCACAGGGCAGTCAGGCCCTACAGGTCCGAGGCCTCTGGCCTACCTGACCCCGGCGACTGGGCTGCCTCCTGTTGCCACTCATCTTCCTAGCTCTAGATCTCTGCGTCCTCACTCCACCTCCCAGGCTTAGCTCTGCTCGCCCCCGGCTGCTGGATGCTTTCTCTGTGCTGGGGGAAGATGCGCAGAGAGGAGGGGAGGACCAGCGAAGCAGAGGGTGCCAGCTCACCAGCGCTTTCCAATCTATGGGAGTTAGCTCCTCTCATAACCATGACAACGGGTGTTGGAGCTGCTGTCTTCAAAGCAGTCATGAGGAAACAGGGGTGGGAATGCAGGAGATTCCCTTATTAGATTGGCTGGGGGGACAGAATGTGTCTTCAGCCACCCCAACCCAGAGGTCAGGACCCCAAACCTCTAACTCTTCTATTTATACTCAATCAGTCAGTCAAAGCCCAAAAGATCCACCTTTGGTCACCAGTGTGTGTGTGTCTGTGTGTGTGGGGGGTGCTCAAGTAGCCAAGAATACCCTTGAACTTTGGATCATCCAGCCTCCACTGCTTGGTGCTGGGATTAATGGGACACTGAGGAATACCTTTGCCTTTAAGTTTTCTCCCACTCCATCCAGCTTCTGCAGAAGTCCTTAACTTCCTTTCTGTTCCTCCCCAAGCACCTGACGTTTCCAAAAGCCAGAAAAGACAATACTGGCTGTGGTAGCTCATGCCTATGAATTCCTGAACTTGGGAGACTAAGACAGGAATACTGCAGCAAGCCTGGGCTATAGACAACTGTGTCCAAAAAAAAAAAAAAAAAAAAAAAAAGAACACACACATACAGCACTTATGAAGTGGAGGCGGGAAGCTTGGGAGTATGGACATCTTTAGCTATCTAGTGATATGGATGATGAGGCCCAATCTCAAAACACCACCACCAAAACAAACAAACAAACAGGTTACAAGAGGAAGAAAAGCAAAGGTACCTGCTGCCAAACTTGATGACCCACATGGTGGAAGAACTGAACTGATATCCCCATTCCAGCCATGGCATGTACCCAGTAAATTAGAAAGGGCAAGACAGCTGGTATGCTGGGGCATGGCTTTAATCCCAGCACTCAGGAGAAGAGGCAGGCAGATCTCTGAGTTCGAGACCACCTTGGCATACAAAGGAAACTCCAAGCTAGTCGGGGCTTTACAGTGAGACCCAGCATCTAAATTAACTAGTTAATCAATTTAATTAAAGATGTTAGAGGACAAGGACAAAACCATGCAGGCAGCTGAAACAGAACCGAGGACACTGGCAGGGACCCTAAGACAGAATCGTAATTCAGTGACGAAAATACCCAGCCTGGGCCTGCCACACCACCGACCACACGGGCAGTAGGAGTGGGGGAGGATGCCAGCCTGGGCCTGCCACACCACTGACCACACGGGCAGTCGGATGGGGGAGGATGGGGGAAAGGGGAAGTGTGGAGGTGCTGAGTCAACAGTGCAGGCCAGAGAGCAACGGACCACAGTGCCCTAGGTCTTGAGGTGTCCTGAACCAAGATCCTTCTGTCTTGGCCCTCAGTTAGGGTGACCTGAGGTGACAGAGCCCGGTGGTCTGGAGGTCGTTCCCTACCATTCCTCCGCGTGCTTCCTCCTCTGCCACCAGACACTCTACTGTTTTTTGAGTCAGGATCTCACTGTGTCACCTGTCTGGCCTTGAACTAAAGGCAATCCTCCTGCCTCAGCCACCCAAGTACTAGGCTTACAGGCATGTACCACCAGGCCAGGCTTCTCTCCTCATCCTGCCGGTCTTCCTTGCCCCGCCCTGGTCTCTGCTTGTCCTCAGACTTCTTTCTATCAGCCCTGCAACTACTTCTCCCCCCAGGCACGGAGCCTCCTTCCCTCCTCCTCCCCAAGGGACACCCTCTGTCAGACTCTAGTCTCAGACACTCCAGCTTTCTTTTCTTTAGTGGCACGGGCCTGCCTGCGTCACTAGCAAAGTGCCCATTGGTCTATTCTCCAGCCAACTTGTGGGAAGTATAGCTCTTTAACTGGATTGTTTCTAGATCAAAGTCACCTCAAATTCACCTTGTGGAACTTCAAAGGCCAAGTCTAAATATCTCTTCCCGCCGACGTACGCTCTCCCTCTCTCCACCTCTCTGCCCTCCCAGCTGTCTCAAGGACACTGACCTGTAGAAAGTATGAGCATGTCCGACAGGCAAGCAAGCAAACGTGAGAACGGCAGCAAACAGAACAACATGCTTGGCTGGCAAGGGCCACTCCAAAAAGTGTGTGCTTATAGACACCGTCTTTCCTCATGGTTCCCTGTGCTACCTGCCTAGATAGTTCTCCTGGAAGTGGGAAGGGACGAGGGACTGGGGCCAGAAAAGGGCTCCAGTGGCCCTTTCCCTCCTCGGCACCGCTGCCCATACAGACCCCAGTTGCTCTGGTCCCCGCCTTCCACCTGCCAACACTCACCCTCTCTTGAAGCGGCCCCTGTTCTGAGTGGGCGAGCAGCGGGCAGCAGCCACAGCAGCAGCACATCCCAGCACGGGCACTGCCCAGCAGCAAGCGGCCCTGGCACTGCCTAGCACTATTGTACTGAGACCGCCCCAGGCTCAAGCTGGGGAGAATGGAATGACAGGGGAAGTGCTTACCAGGGGAAACGGCTGCTTGATGGACTCTCCTGTATTTAACACACAGCAAGCACAACGGCCCTTCATGTCCTCCATGCCCCAGCATGTCCACCAGGAAAGGGTCTATCACAGCTAGGGGTGGTGTGCACATCTGGAAGTCTAACTATTTGGAAGGTTGAGGGAAGAGGATGGATAGCCAAAGACAGCCTGGGCAACTTGGCAAGACTCTGTCTCAAAAGAAAATTCTAAAAAGGGCAGGGAATGTTGCTCCAGGTTCAAGGATCTGGTAGACATGAAGCACTGGATTCAATCCCAGCACCACAGAGGCAAGAAAGACCTGTCATCCCCAGTCCAAACACCCACCCCAGTGTTCAGAGCCCTTTCTGCAGGGCCCGACCCTCTGCTGGCCAGCTCAGGGTGTCCTGCTTCCTCTCCACAGACCCGGAAAGCCTTCCCCACTCACTGATATTGTCCAGGCTAATGCTACATGTCAGATTAACTGAATATAGAAGTGAACAGGGCTGAGTGTTGGGGCGTACACCAATAAGCTCAGCACTGAGAAGTTGAGGCAGAAGAATCGGGAGTTCAAGGCCAACTTCGTCTTTTTTTGTTTTTTTGGTTTTTTTTGTTTTGTTTTTAGTTCTTCGAGACATGGTTTCTCTGTAGCTTTGGAACCTGTCCTGGAACTCTTATAGACTAGGCTGGCCTCAAACTCACAGAGATCCGCCTGCCTCTGCCTCCCAAGTGCTGGGGTTAAAGTCAACCTTCATCTTAAGACCCATACCTAGCAGCTGGACGGTGGTGGCACACGCCCTTAATTCCAGCACTTGGGAGGCAGAAGCAGGGGGATCCTTGTGAGTTTGAGGCCAGCCTGCTCTACAAGAGTTAGTTCCAGGACAGGCACCAAAAACTACAGAGAAACCCTGTCTCAAAAAAAAAAAAAAAAAAAAAAAGACCCATACCTAGCACAAAGCCTCAAGTACAGCAGGCACCCAATGTATGTTCAGAAATGGGGGTACAAAAGGAAGAAAAGACAGGGTCTCCAGCAGCACCCTCATCTGTAGGTACCCTTTGCTAGCCTATGAGAACCTTAAGAACTTCAGCCTCCTTTCCTGTCCTCTGGAGCACCCCACTTCTTCTGACAAAGACCAAGAGGGTTTCCTCTGGGGGGGCAGAACACCAAGGGGAAACCTCCTTCCACCTCCTTCCTGCAGGGAGGGAGCTGAGTGCTGACAAGTTCACTCCATTCTGTGCTCTAGGCTAAAAGAAAACAATGATAGCTGGGCGGTGGCCAGCACGCGGGAGGCAGAGGCAGGAGGATCTCTGTGAGTTGGAGGCCAGCTCTGTTCTACAAGAGCTAGTTCCAGGATAGGCTCCAAAGCTACAGAGAAACTTTGTCTTGAAAAAAAAAGAAAAAGAAAACCAATGAGGCAAGACAAGTAAGGAAACCTAGACTCAGGCTTCCCAAGCTCCTCAGGGCGGCAGTTACTCGGGTGTGTCAGAGCTGCTCTCCCCAGGCCTGAGTTCTCACTGTTCTCCTCTCTCCACACCAAGGCCTCAGGGACAATTGTGTGGTATTCACAATCACCTCAGTTGGCAACCGGCAAGGGGCAGCTGCCTTTTCCTCAAGACTCTACAGCCAGAGGGCTCTAGGAGGGGTCCACTGGGACTAATAGTCTGTGGCTCCGCCCTGGACAGCCGAGACACAGGGTCACTGGGTTGTGAAGGGAAGGGCTGCTGGTCAGCGGTGCAGTACTTGCAAACTTGGTTTCAATTCCACAAGGGGAAATCTCTGAGACTGGGAGTGAAGAGAGAAGATTCCTGAGGTGAGTCCAGGCTTTGGATAGACTGTGGAAGGCCCTGGTCCTCCAGAAGCTCCAGGAAAGAAAATGGAAGATTGGAAGCTGAGAGAAGATGGTCAAATGCAGACACTAAACCTTAAGCCAGAAACAAAAGAAAAAGACATCACTGAGCACACAAAGGCACTTAGAAAACCCCTGCTCAGTGAAGGGTGGCTGGACAGTGGGACTGGACAACACACAGGGGAGGCAGAAAAGGGGCACTTATGCCATAGGCAATAAAATCTGGCTGGAGCCTCTGAGATCCAGGTACCCTCGACCCCAGCCCGCTCCCCTCCCAGCCACACCTGTCAGGCCAGACACAGACAGACGGGCATTTGTACAGGCAAACAATGGCTGTGCCAGACTCCCTGCCCTCCTGGCACAAGGCAGGCCAGCTGAGTTGGGAGGGGGTAGCTGCTGCCTTCAGCCCTACCCC